TAAATAAATAAAAAATAAAAATACAAGAGCTTAACTTGGGCTATATACCAACTTGATCACCAAATTTTTAATTATGGAAATAAATGGAAACAAACTTATTGAGTACAATTGGCAGACTTGTCTACCATTGGTTGCACTTCTCTGAACTCTGATATCAGCTTGATGAGATCTTGTCAAGCTCTTTCTCTGGTGTAGAAGCTCCAAGGCTCTGCTCAGGGTCCTAGTACCAGTGTAGAGGGAGTTTTGAAGACGTCTTTCTTTCAGAGACAGTAAGAGTGGCAGTAACACAGGAATTAGTGATAAGGGTGAAATATCCAAAAAGTACAGCTGAATTGAATTCAGGTTCTCATTTACAAAGATATTTTTATAAATACCTGTCATCATAATGAACATCCTTAATATCCACAGCATCCTCATCCTCACTATCCTATAAAAGTCATTGAAGATAAGAGGGGGAGTGAGGAATGGAGAAAAAGACTTCCAGAAAAGTAACCATGGTACATATAAACAATTGTTAATTTGCAAGTAGAAAAATATTCTCATACACTGAACTGTTCACAGTGTTTGGTGTGGCCCTACCTTGGGAAGTCTAAGATGATGCTTAGCAATAGAAAGGAAAGAAATACTGAGAATCTGTACAATGTGTCATATGTTCATGCATATCTGATAACTGCACACTTTCCTCCTAGACATCATATCATATATGGAGTTGTTTATTAAGACCTATTCTTATAAGTAAATATACACATTTTATGTTTTACTTTAAAATTTAATAGACAGTTTTTTTACCTTACAGACACATTGTTAAGAAAATCAACCAAAGGCTTTGATTGTTTGAGTGTCTCTTTTTCCTCTTCTGAGAATTCTCTTGGATAATATTGTGTAGTAGCATTTTTGGGATATGTCCTAACATAGTAAAAGAAAATTCAACACCCAAAATTAGGTCAAAGAAAAGCAAATACAGGTCATGACAGGTCAAAAGTTTGTCTCTGTGACAATGTTATTAGAATATTATTTTATGTTTACATTCTCTACATTGAATTTTTTCTTTATTTTAGACAATTGATATTGACCACCATTCAAAGTTTACATGTATTTCCTTCCAACACAATAAAAAAGCTCTTGTTTTGTAAAAGTTTTGTTTAGAAATCATTTCAAACTTACAGAAAAGTTGTAAGAAGGGTATAAGGAACCCTTCACCCAGATTCATCATTAATAAACAAAATACACAAACTTCCTGTCTCATGGGGCTTAAACTCTAAAGGCAGGGGGCAGAAGAGAGACAATGAAAAATACCTATCAAGTGATGCTAGCACCTTGAAGAAAAATAAAGTAAGTAGATACATAGTAATGGGAGTTGCTGCTTTTATCAGGAGGGTCAGAGAATGCCTCATTTGAGCAGAGATCTGAATAAAGGAGGGAATGAGCCATAAGGATACCCAGGGAAGAGCATTCTATGTAAAGGCACTGTAAGCATAAACACATCAGGTGTGAGTATGCTTGGTGAATTCAAGGAACAAGGAAGCCAATGTGGCTGGAAGAGATGAGCCAGGGGAACTGTGGGAAATAAGGGCAGAGGGGCAAAGGGATCCAGATCATATGAAGCCTTGTAGGTTCCTTCAGGATGAGAGGCCATTGGAGGGTTTTGATCCGTGACATGATATGAAACACTTCTGGCTCTTCTTTGTAGAACAGAATGTAGGAGAGGAAGGATGAATAAAGGAAGCCCGGTTGGAAGGAATTATAAGAATCCAAGCAAGAGGTGATGATGGCTTAATCCAAGGAGAATGCAGTAGATATATTTTGAAGATAGACTCAACAAAATCCAAGATCTTTGGTCTGAGTAATTAGAAGAATATCATTACCATTTACTGAGATGAGGAAGATTTAGGAAGTTGCAGGTTTCAAAGTGGAAAATCAAAAGTTTGTTGTTGAGCATATTAAATTTGAGACACTATTAGACATCCAAGTAAGCAGGTGAATACATGAATGTGGAGTTCAGGGGAGAGATTGAGGTCGAGTGCAGGTTTGGAAGTCATTAGCAAACAGATGGTAGATAACACCATAGGACTGGATACATTCACCCAGGGATTAGTACAGTTAGAGAAAAGATCAAAAGGAACTAGGCTTGGGGTCCTCTAACGTTCAGAAATTGGGAAGAGGAGGATCCAGTAAAAGAAAGTGAGAAGGAGCTGCCAGTGAGTCAGGAGGGGAACAATAAGCATTGTCCATTAAGTGGAAATAGCGTTTCAAGGAGAAATAGTCAACCATGTTGAATTCTGCTGAGAAGGTCGGAAAATTGACCACTGGATTGGGCAGTCAGACTACTGGGGGTCTTTAGTGAGCTTGTTAGGACTGTCTGGAGTGGCTCAAGACAGAGTGGAGAAGAGAATGTGGAACTAGAGAGTGTGGGCAGCTGCTGTGAGGAATTTTGTTGTAAAGAAAAGGAGAAATATTAGGAAACAGCTGGAGGGCTAAAGAAAGTTGGTTTTTGTTTGTTTTAATGATAGGATTCATAACATTTTTTGTATTCATACATGTCTCCTTTCTACCCTTTGTTTAATGCCACCACCTTACTTTAGACATTGGTCACATTTTAGCTGGTTTCATTACAACAGGCTCCTACTTGGCCAGTCTCTCCAACTCCAGGCTTTTCCTTCCCTGCCCTCCCATCCATACTGCCTGGCTCATCTTTATTTTGATGGCCCTATCATCCTGGCTCTTCCTTGCTTCAGAACTTGCCAAAGTTCCCTACTATCTGCCACAGAGGACTCAGCTCTATGTCTATCTCTGCTACTCCCTCCCTCCTACCTAGGCTGGTCTCCTTGTACTCCTATACAAACACTGTTCTTCCCACCCCTTTGCATTGTTCCGGTCATTTAAAAAACTGGGCCTTTTTCCTGTTTTCCGTGTCTCCAAATCATATTCCAAATCTATAAACCTAAAGTTATTTCAAAATAAAAAGTTTTTAAAAATCTTTAAAAAATGCAAAGTTTAGCCAAATATGTCTTCAAATTTATACAACATACAAAGCCTAGCTAGCTCGAGTCCACAAAGCATTCCCTTGGCAATCCACTTCACATCAGTTCATTCATCCACTGGCTACATTTTAATTAAGAGTTTGCCATGTGAAACTGATATGGTTTGTACCCTCAAAGTGCTCCAGATCGAAGGCAGACAGACAGACAAGTAAACAAATGAGTACAATATGGATCATCAGTCTGACCACAAAGGTACCTTTAAGCTCTAGTGGGGACCCAGAGTAGGAAGTGATCAACTCCACCTGATATTTCCAGATCACAGAGGAAGGGGCACTGAACCGGGTGTTAGTAAAGAGGGCCTCCCCAGGTGGACAAGGGTGTAGGGCATATTATGTAGAGGAACAGCAGGTATTCTGGGAACTGGAAGCAGCTCACAGGGCTGGAGCACAAAGGGCTTATTTAGGAATGGGGGTGACAAGGCTGGAGGGACAGTGCCTGTCATGGAGGAAGGAGCTTATATACCACCCTAAGGGCTCTGGATGAATGTACTTCTGTAAGTGATGGAAGCCAAAGAAGAAACCTAGGCAATGAAGTAACATGATCTGATTTGAGGCGTAAGAATGATGACTTAGGTGGTAGAATAGAGCAGTTGGGAGGCAGTGGAAATATGCCAGGTGAGAGATGCCCAGCACTGTAATTATTAACAGCATCACTCGTTTTCCCACTTCCTAGTCTTTACAGTCCTATATACTTGTGTCTCATTTTCCTGTTATGATCTTTAAAGGTATTGTTGAATATAACTAGATCTTCCTGAATTGAATTACTCTGCGGAGATCTATGTGTCATCATCGTTAATCCATTGCTGTTTATTATAAAGATCTCTCAAAATAATCATGGAAGTTGCTAGATTTTACTGTAATTGGCTATAAAAATACACAGACCCTATCGCATACTTACCATCTTGTCTGAGTACTTGTGTCCTTGATTTGGGGGACTACTTGCATGCTGACGTCTTTCTCCAGTTGTTTAAGGGTAAAATTTTTATCTGGGTAGGCTGTACATTCAACGTAGGCATCTTTTACATTAGAAGCATTCTGGTCACTGAACTTAGTTGGTGCACCAAATTTACTTCGTTTTCGAGAAATCATGTATTTAATCTGCAACACATGTAAACAGTAAAGGTAACATAATGAAGTACCTGGAGAAGAATGGACGTGTGGTGGACAACCCTGGTGCTGTGCCCAGATCCTCCCAGATCCTTCCGTAGGCTTTCTGTACGCCCCTCCTGCTCCTTGTGCTTTCCATGCCCATGGGTTGCCCCTGGTGTGCCTGTTTGGAGGACTGCTCTAAGGCTATAGGGACCACTTTGCTCACAGGTACAAAGAACAGGAAGTGACTGGCAGTCTACATCTTGACCAATGGTGGACTGGTAAGAGGCATATCTAAACCCATTTCCTTGGCTTCTGTTTGGGACAACTCCAAGGTGCAGTTTACACTCCAGAGTTGCTCTACAGGTTCAGGCTGAAGACTTCCCTCTGCCAGACTTTTACCTGAGGTTGCATTCTTGCAGGGCTTCCTCCATGTCCCTGTCCTGCTACTTTTCATCTCTTGTGGGGCACTTTCATAATAAATCTCTCATACACAAATCCTCCGCGCAGGAGTTGCTCTGGGAGGGAACCCCACTGTATTATTAATAGTTTCCTAGGGCTGCTGTAACCAAGTACCACCAGCTGGGTGGCTTAAAAACAATAGGAATTTATTCTCTTACAGTTGTGGAGGCTAGAAGTTTGAAATCAAGGTATTGGCAGGTTGGTTCCTTCTGAGGGCCCTGAGGGAGAATCTGTTCCGTATTTCTCTCCTAGCTTTTGGTAACAGCCAGCAAGCCCTGGTGTTCTTTGGCTTATAGATATATTCCTCCAGTCTCTGCCTCCTTCTTCACGTGGTATTGTCCTTGTGTCTCCGTGTCATCACATGGCTATCTTCTTACAAGGACACCAGTCATATCGGATAAGGGGCCCACCTATTCCAGTATGACCTCATCTTAAACAATTACATCTGCAATGATCCTATTTCCAAATAGGATCACATTCTGAGTTACTAGAAATTAGCACTTCAACATATCTTATTTTGGGGACACAATTCAACCCATAACATCCCCATAAGACAATGACCATTCTTCTGTCAAAACAAAACAAAAAACCATGTGCCCATAGCAAATATAGCAACCATTACAAATCCCTCAGGAATAAATGTTCAGCTACAGACAGGTAATAATGACTGGAGATCATATTTAAACCTCTGACCTGCTTCGTATATTCCTTAACTGATTCTTCCTCAATTTCTTTTTCACTGCCCAAAGAAACCCATGGTTTAGAGACAGGTGGTTTATAAACATACACTTCTTCAGAAATATGTTCTTTATGTTCTTCCTGCTCTTCTGGTACTTCTGGAGGCTAGAGTAAAATAAATAGTATTATAAAATATATGGCCAAATTTAGGTTATAGCTACATGTATATATTTTGTAATAAACTTCACTTTTATAAAAATTAAGTACTTTCTTACTATTTATCTTTGTTGCTTCATGCTTTTAAATTATGAGCAGGAAACAAAGCAAAAAAAAAACAAGAGAAAATGAGAAAGAAAGAGACATCAAGGATATAGAAAGAACATGAAAAGAGAAAAAGATGGGAGACAAGAAAAAATATATATATATTCACTGAATATATATATATATTCACTACTTTATTTGTAATAGTGAAAAAATGAACAAACAAATGAGTATCAATAGGGGAATGGATTGATGACAGTGTGGTACAATCATAAAATAAAATCCCACAGAGCAGTTATAATGAACAAACTTGATCTACATATATATAGTATCTAAATGTACTAACATTTATAGATCTTAAAATTTAATAATTCAGTGAAAAACAAGTTGCCATATGATTTGTACACGATATAATTTCTATGTGAATTTTAAATTAATGAACACTAAAATACATTATTTGTGGAACATACATATATGCTAAAAGTATAAAATCACAGGCAAGAAAGGTATATAATAATTTTAGAATAACTGTTCCTTATAGGAAAGAGTGAAGAAAATGGAATTAGGGAGGCTACAAGAAGGAGTAAAACATTATCTGTAATTTTATTTCTTTTTTAAAAAATGTTTTGAAGTAAATATGCAAAATATTAACATTTATTGATTCAGGGTGGTGATTGTGTGAATATTTGTTACACTACTCTCTGTATTTTTCTATACATTTAAAATATTTCACTATAATAAAAAAACTAAAAACAGAAAAGCAGCCATAAAAATAAAATAGAAAATGTTAAAGTTAAGTAAAAGATTATTTTTAATTAAAAATTGTCAAATATTTTTTAATTCTATGGCTTTCCTTTATTCTTCTTGCTTTTTGGACAACCACACAAACCCCTGCGTCACCCTCAAACAATTTAACCAAACCTCCCAAAGCAAGATCGGAAGGCGAGTCTCATACATCTGTCACTTTTCTTGCTCACCTTGAACAAAGGGCTTTGCCTGTACGAGTCCATTTAATCCTCATTATTGGTGCCACCATTTTACAGACAAGAAGCTCTGTAACTTACCCACGGTCATGGAGATGGCAAGGAGAGAACCAGGAAAACGGGCCAGGGAGTGGCCGAGAGCAATAGTACTCCAGGTTGCTGTTTCCTTTCTTGCTGGGTCAAGGATGGAAGGGCAAACAAGCAGAGCATCTGCTACCCTGAGATGCTTGAGTTAGTTCTTCCCCCACTTACTGGTCACCTATTTTAGGTGCCAGAACCTGATCTGAGTCCCAGGGAAACAGAGCTAAACAAATCAATAATCATCGTTACGTGTAGGGAGGGATCCCCAAGGTACTGCTTCCTTCTGATAATAAACAAATAGCAAGGGCTTACATTTAAATAGTTTTCCTTGCCCTCTTCAGTTCCAATAAGATAAAAGTTCAGTCCATATTTGAAGTCTTTGTCATAAACAAGCAGGAGCTCATCTCCAGGATATTCCTACATGAATGTAATCAAAAGAGACGGTTAATGTTCAATGGTCATTCGGTTTATTCAGATGCTGACACAACCTTGATATTTCTCTAAACAACCAATCATAAAAGATAACCTTTGTGCTAATCTATGGCTGATAACCCCAAATTGCAAAATTATTTTATTAACCTAAAAAAGCTCTTAAAAACACAATGAGTCCAAGGAAATTACCATGCAATATCATTTCTAACAGGAAAAGAGAAGCTTTTTTCTCCTTTTTGAGACAGAGTCTCATTCTGTTGCCTGGGCTAGAGTGCCATGACATCAGCCTAGCTCACAGCAACCTCAAACTCTTGGGCTCAAGCGATCCTCCTGCCTCAGCCTCCTGAGTAGCTGGTACTACAGGCCTGTACCACCACACCCAGCTAATATTTTCTATTTTTAGTAGAGATGGTGTCTAACTCTTACTCAGGCTGGTCTTCTGACCTAAAGGGATCCTCTTGCCTTGGCCTCCCACAGTGCTAGGATTACAGGCATGAGCCACCACACAGGCTACAAGCATTATTTTTATTTGGTATTGTGCTCTGTAGCATGCTTAGAGATAAATAGGGACCAAAATTATGAATTAAACAATTAAAGCAATATGAGAAAATAAGGGTAGTTTCCTATTCTAGTTAAAATTGGGCAAGGATGAGCTTTTCTGGGTATGGGATGAAATAACCTGTCACCGACGAACTTTGCTTTTCACAGAGGATCATCAAACAGAATGCCCAGGGAGGCGTGGGCCAGTGAGCATTTGCCCAAAGTAATGGGGAATGCCAGCTTTGAACTCGACAATCTTTCCAGCTTGTGTTAGTCTGTACCAGGAACTTCTTGAGGACAACTGAAAAATAAAGAGGGATATTGTACTTACCTGGATAATTTTTTTGACTGGGTAAAAATCAGATATTGCACCTCTGTTCTTAAAGTCCTCAAAAATAGTTTCTTTATTGATAAGCTTGTAAGGTTGTTCATCTGTGACATCTTCCTCTACTCGGCAGTTAAATATTTCCTGGGTCTTAGTAGTTAATACTAAAGGATAAATTTCTGGATGACCTGGGAAAGACAAAGTAGAATTTGGACATTAAATACAACTACTTGCAAATTAGCAATAGGAAATATGCAATTGCTTGCTTTTAATAATACTCTTGGTTCAAATTTTGAGACTTTAAAATTATTGTTCTTATATTTAAAGTAAATATATCTATTATAAAAATGTCAAAGAAAGAAAAAAGAGAAAAACTATGGCCCATAATACTATCCCTCAAGAAAAAAAGAATCTCTATTAATATTTTGCTCTATTTTCTTCTAGTCACTCCCTATATACCTTATATGAAATCCTAAATCCTGCTTTTAATATCTACTGTTATGTCACAAGTATTTTACCATGACATTAAATAATATTTCTGAAAAATCATTTTAAATTAATTTAAATCTGTAGCATAATTTTAAACCATTCTCTTGTTGATATGTATTCTGATTTTCTTCTCATTTGTTTCTAATTATTGTAAATAATTCTACAAACAAATATCTAGTTTATAAATTTTTATCACATTTCAAATGATTTTCTTGGGAGAGATTTTAAAAGTGGAATTATTGGTCCGAAGGTATGATCCACTTTTTAGGTTCTTTTCAGCTCGTTTTGCTTTCCTAAAACGTCCCCAGCCTCACCCTCTCACCTGCTGCTCTCTCTCACCAGGTAACTGGCTTCCTGCTTCACGGAGAAAATAGAGTCTGAATAGCACAGAATGGCCCAGGTCCTGCAGCCCCTGCCCGCCCCGCTCAACACAGGCACGCCTTTCTGCCCTTCCCCCAGCTCAGAGGACCTGCTTGGCTCCTCTCCGCCCTCCTCCGCCACCTTGGCTCCATCAGCTATTCCCCTCCCTTCAAGTTTTCCTACTTTTATGCAACTTTTCCTACATAGAGGTAGGAAAGAGAGACACTGATTTGCTCAATAGTCTTTTGAAGAAGAAGAAGAAAACTTCCCTTGACCCCTTTATAGGGACTTCTGCTCTTTAGGGCTCCTGCTTTATACAGTCAAACTTATTGCTACTCAATTCTTCACATTTTTCAATTACTGATTTCTCAATTAGGTTGCATTAATAAACCCTTGGACTTGTATTAATGTACCCTTGGACATAGGAAGGAAGGTGGGTGGGGAATCCCATATTTCACCTCTGGTTTACCAGTCCCAGTAGTACCCTCAGAAGCGGAGGGAGCAGAGGTTCAAGAGGCTTCCATCCCTGTTCTTCCAGTCCCCTCCCCGACCCCAGGCCAGTCCTCTGCAGCACCGTGCCCTGGGACAGTGGATGCAAGACGGCAAGGGAGCATTTTGCCTGCTGCCAACTCCTCTCTTGTCTTCTTCCCATTTTCTTATCCTTACCACCATCACTTTCAGCCACACCAGTCTTAGCTTGCGTCTGCCCCAGAACTCTCTCCCCAACTCAGCACTCCCGGGGTCCCAGGGCCTATTCCCATCTTTTCCAGCTCCCACACACCTGGGTATCCCGCCATCCTCCCTCCAACTGCTTAACCGATGCGCCAGCAAGGGGAGAAGTGCAGTGGCCTCCCCATGGAAATATTTCCCCCCACTCCAGTGGCTTTATAGTATTCAGGTAATTTGGGGGGGTTAATGACTGTGTGCATAACACTGATTATATGCAGAAATATTAATATATTGCAAATTGCAGTTTGTGTAACATTTGGAATTCAGTTATTCATGAATTAGGGACAAACTACCCATTTTTATCTCCCTCAAAATATTAACCATAACTCCTGGCACATATGAGATGCTCAGAAAGTGACTGTCGACTTGATTCAATACTAGTAATTCTTTGAAAACATACTGACATTTTGTATAGTGTCAACCGCATAATAAAAGTTCTGGGCCGGGCGCGGTGCGGTGGCTCACGCCTGTAATCCTAGTTCTCTGGGAGGCCGAGGCTGGCGGATTGTTTGAGCTCAGGAGTTCGAGACCAGCCTGAGCAAGAGCGAGACCCTGTCTCTACTAAAAATAGAAAGAAATTAATTGGACAACTAAAAATACATAGAAAAAATTAGCCGGGCATGGTGGCGCATGCCTGTAGTCCCAGCTACTCGGGAGGCTGAGGCAGGAGGATCGCTTGAGCCCAGGAGTTTGAGACCAGCCGGGGCAACATAGCGAGACCCCATCTCTAAAAAAAAAAAAAGTTCTGTAGTTCTGCCTTAGAAATCCACTAGGTGGAACTGTGAGACTCATACTGCACTAGTACCAGAAAGGGGGCGGCCATCCTTTATAAACAGGCATTGAGAAAGACCAGAAAGCTTTCTGCCAACCAAGAAACTGGAAAGACACGGGACAAAGATTGTGTCCTGTCTGCGGTGCCCAACCGCCCACCCCCAAGTCTGTAGCGTGTTAGGAACCGGGCCACACAGCAGGAGGTGAGCAGTGGACAAGGGAGCAAAGCTTCATCAAGCTTCATCTGTATTTACAGCTGCTCCCCATCCCTGGCGTCACCCCCCGAGCTCCGCCTCCTGTCAGATCAGCAGCTGTGTTAGAATCTCAAAGGAGCACGAACCCGTCTGTAAACTGCGCATGCGAGGGATTTAGGTTGCCGGCTCCTCATGAGAATCTAATGCCTGGTGATCTGAGGAGGAGCTGAGGCAGTGATGCTAGTGCTGGGGAGCAAATGCAAATACAGATTGTCATTAGCAGAGAGGTTTGACTGCACAATAAATGTAATGCGCTTGAATCATCCTGAAACCATTCCCTCCACCCCCACCCGAACCCTGTCTGAAGAAAAATTGTCTTCCATGAAACTGGTCCCCGATGCCAAAAAGGTTGGGGACCACTGTGGACTTATGTTACCTGGCTCCACTAAACTCACACTTCAAATTCTACTAGCCTGATATTTTCCACAAGAAATGATCTTTTCACATTAATTGGTTTTCAAGGCAATGTTAATATAGGATCTAACATTCCTTTATCTAGAAGTCAGTAAAACTAGTAGAACTGTTTCTAGTTGGAGTTGTCAATCAGTAATAATTGCCAACAACTGGCAGCCAACAGACCACATAAAACATCCACAGTCAGTATTCAAAGGGACTTTATAGACCTTCCACGAGTGACAAGCATTGACTGTACCTTAACTTCAGAATTTTCAGAGCTGTGAAAGCAATTAAACAGGGTAATAGGTGACAGAGAAATCAAGGAAGGCCTCCTGAGGAAGTGATACTGGAACCTGGATCTCAGTCACAGGAAGGAGATCCTAGGGAAGATCTATTCAGGCATCAGAAGCAGCAAAAGCAAAGGCCCTGAGGCAGGAATAAATTTGGAAAGTTCTGTGTTAAGCAAGGCTGGTGGACTATAGGTTGGGGGAGACGAGGAGGAGACAAGGCTAGAGAGGAAGGCAGAGCCAGGACCACTGTAAGAAGTCTCCACTGGCAAAGAAAAGCCATGGGGGAGTTTAAGCAGGAAAGAGACATGGTCAGGCTGCTGTGTGAGAAACGGATTGAAAGAGCCTGAGGGGAAGCAGTGATGTCAGTTAGGAGCCTTAGGAACTAATCTAAGTGAGGGATGCAGAGGTTTGGACTAGGGTTGCAGGTTTGCTGGTGGGGAGATAATGCCAAGCAGATGGGTTTGAGATATATATTAGAGATGAAATTGACAGAAGTTGGGATGGTTTGGATGGGGGTGGGGATGTGTGGAGGGAGAGAAAGGAACCTGGGATGACTCCCAAGTTTCTCGATGTTGCATTAATTCAATAACTATTTATTGGGCAGCATACCCTGCTCTAGGCACTGTGCTTGGGTGCTAATGACAGGACCACTTACCTGTAGCTGACATCCTCTTGCCCTCTCCATGCCTCTGCCCCCTCTAGTAGCCTGGCCCATGTCACCACCCTCTTTCCCCTGGATTGCCACCCTAGCCTACTGACTAGTCTCCCTGCCTCTGTTCTTGCTCCTGCGGTTCCTGTAGCCCGAGTGACCCTTTTAAAACAGAAGTCAGATCACTTCACTCTCTGCTTAAATACCACCAATACTTCTTCATCCTATATCTTTACAGTGGCCTACAAGGCGTTTTCCTCCTCACCCTCACTGTTTCTGAAAGTGAAGTGTGTCATCTAAGTGAACTCTAAGGGAAACAAACGTTCCCTCTTCACCCCACCAAAAAAAGTCCTGCTGGAATAAGATGATATAGCCCTTAAAAGTAGGAACAATATTAGTTTAGTTGTCTAAGTTCTAGTTTATTTGCTTAAAAGTCAATCTCTTTCTTTGAATTAGTGGAATTTTATCATGAAGTACAGATTAATATTACCTAAGAGCCAGAGTTTAAAAAATACTATTCTGATAGAAGTAACAACTTGCAGGCTTACAATACTTTATAGTTACAAAAGGTCTTTCAATAATCATATAATGGATTTTTAAGGGATTGCTTAGTACAAGTCTGTTTCTCTCTTTTCTGCTCTTATTTTTTATTCTTTCTTTAAAATTTTTCATTTGATATTCTAAATGACAGGGTGTAATTTTATCCCAAGTACATTTTGATTGATCACTTCAATCTGTAGTATTCTTGCTTGCTTATTACCGATTAAAATATTATAAAACTGAGGACATAAATTCTAAATTGTATTTCCACTTACCCAGGCTCTCCATATTTACTGGTTCCACTTCTTCACTAACTAGAATATAATAAAATGATGTCAAATTCACATTTTTGAATCAAATATATATTTGATTATAGTTTTTTACAATTATAATTTTTACTAAACCTCAAAACATAAAACATAAATACAAAAATACAATGAAAACTTTAACTTGTGAATAATTAGAGAAAATCTGAATAATTGTCTTTCACACAGAGTTATCTGTTAGTGATATATTTACTGTGGCATTCATTATATGGCATTTAATTGATATTATAATGAAATGAATCAAAAGAATTAATCTCCATATATTGAATTCTGCATGCATTTGACTTTATGACAGCAAAAATATTTCACTTTATTTGCTACATAAAGCCACAATCATTTTGGCTGCTAATATATGTATGAATACTAAATCCACAAAAAATCCCATTAAATGAGAAAAATCCTACCGGGTAATGTCAAGTTTTGGGTTTTTTTGCCACGTGTTGCCTTTTTGCCTTGTTTTGAAGTTTTTGTCGCCATGGTTCTGACCTAGGCCGCATAAAGAGATGATATCATTAGTAAATTCTGGTTTACAATTTCAAACATTATGCAGTATCATGCAGTAAACGTAAGAATGTTTCCTAAGTTTTGCCCTGGGCTAAATCAACATGTATCTTTATAGAAAGGGTGTTCTGTGACCAAAGGTTTATTGCAACAACAATCTGGCTGATAAGATCCTGCTGTTCTAGTGGAGCCATTCAGCTGAAGCACGCTGCAGTGACCTGCCGAAATGTCAAGGTTTCAGCCACAGGCCCTGCCACGGAAGCACTACAGAGGACCCTTGTTCACCTGCCTCCCGCTAAAGTTCCCATCCCAGCTAGATGCTCTGTGCTACCTTGTGCTGGGCTGCCTGACAGGCATCCCAGATACAAAGATGAGCTTAAAGTCCACTGGGAGAGAGGCCCACAACATGCATGTATGATCATAATTTTAAAATTAACATAATTTCAATTGTAATTTTTTCTTGGTGAACACATAACCACTAAGGATTATTTGCACTGTCAGAGAATGTCTCCAAAAGTTTCCTATGGAATTGCTCATCAATTTTGACAGTATATAACACTAGCCGAGGTCATCACTAATCAAACCCTTGTTATCTTCTCATTGGTTATCTTTGCCCAGTTTTGTTAAATGGTTAGGAGTGTCATTTCAGGAGTCTAACCAGGAGGGTTTATAAACAAGTTCTGCTTTTTACCTACTGAGTGACTTTGGGCAAATTACTTACCTTCTCTAAGTCTCAGTTTATTCATATATTTAATGGGGATAATAATAAAATCTACCTCTTGAGGTGATTGTGAAGACTTAAGGAAATAAAGTTTCATCATCATCAACTCAGTCATCTCAGACTGGTTTGCCTCATTTTGATAAATCAACACAGATTGAATATTTTTTCATAGCCCATAGTCAAAATATCACGAGTTTTATTTTATACTTAGTTCTTTGGTTACAAAATCTTGACCAAAGTGTGGGTGTGGGTGTCTGTGTGTTTGTGTATAAACATTTCCCTTCAGATTTTTTCACATCTATTTTTTTCAAATACATGTCAGGTACAGTTCTAAGTACCTTACATGTCTTTTTAATGTAATCTTAACCACATATAAATTTTTTTATTGATATATAATCATACATGTTTTGGGGATACATGTAATATTTTCATACATGTACGCAATGTATAATGATCAAATCAGGGTAATTGGGATATCCACCACCTCAAACATTTATCTTCTCTTCTCCATTTTGACATGTACAATAAATCATTGTTACCTATAATTTCCCTCTTGTACTACTGAATACTGATTAACCACATTTTATTATTACTATTATTTTCATCCCAATTTTATGACAATAAAATAGAGGCCCTGAGAGGTCAGGCGACTTTCTTGAAGGGACACAGAGAGCAGCAGGCGGTGGGGCCGGGCTGTGAGCCCACCCCGCCCAGCACCTTGGTCACACTCTCAACTTCTACACTAGATTATCCCCAGATTTCAATGAAAACTGTTTGCTGTGTTTCATTACAAATGAAACGATTTAAACATTGTCTTTACCTAGAAAAGCCTGATTTTATTATCTAATCAACATTTTATGATTCTGACCATTTAGGAATTTCTACTTTTTAAATATTATGCAATGAATGGATCTGACCCAACTTTTCAGACTGTTAGATATCTCCATCCCACTTCCCAGTCTTAGCATAATTTCAAATCTTGAATTTATTTCTTTTTTTCAGAAGGTTCCTTATCAACATACCCCTCTCCATATTCTGTCCCAGCTGCATTTGATCTAAAATGCTAGAAAAGACTCTTACCACCACTGAAACTCACCCTATGCACACCCCCCCCACAACTATTCATTCCATACATATGTATTGAGTGACTATGATGCACCAGTAGCTACCCTAGGTGTTAGGGATACAGCAGTGAACAAAATAGGCAAAAAACTTTGTCCTGAGCCAACTTACATTCTAGGGGGAGACAGACAATGAACAAATAAAAGAGGAAAATAATTAGCATGTTAAGTGGTGGTAACTGCTAAGGAGAAAAATAAAGTAGGAAAAGGTGGGGAATCATAGGAGGGGTAAGGTTGCAATTTTATATTAGAAGACCAGGGAAGGCTTCACTAAGTGACATTAGAGCAAAGACCTGAGGAAGAAAGAAGCCAGGAATGCAGATATCTGGGGGAGGAAGAGTGTTTCCAGGTACAGGAAAGAGTAAATGTAAAGGTTCTGGGCAGGAGCGTGCCTGACACATTTAAGAAAATAACAAGAAGGTCGTGATGGCTGGGGCAGAGGGAGGGGGAAAGACTAGAGATGAAGCTGGTCAGAGAGGTGATGGGGGTACATTAGTCAGCTTTGCCGCAGTAACAAATGACCCCCCAAGCAACATACAACAAACATTTGTTTTTTCTCATGTTATGGATTGTGGCTGTGGATGAGGCTGAAGGAGCAGCCCCTATTGGACACATGCTGCTTTCATGACAGAGGAAAAAGCAAGAAAGCTAATGGCTTCCTAAGTCTTCTCCTTGGCACTGGCACATTATCCCTTCTGCTCACACTCCACTGGCGCAAGCAAGTCATACAGTCAATCCTAACAGTGGGGGAGGAATTCTCTGCCTGCTTCGCAATAAGTGAGAATGTATGATTCTGGTCTCGAACTCCTGACCTTAAGCGATCCACTCGCCTTGGCCTCCCAGAGAGCTAGGATTACAGGCGTGAGCCACCGCGCCCGGCCTTACCTTCCTTCTTTTACCTCCACAGTTTACTATGGCAGGAGTATTCCCATCGCAATTTCCGAATAAACATCATTTTCTTTTGGGGAGTCCCCCTCCCTGTTTGCCATTTAGGTGGACAGCACACACCTGTTTACATGCTCCCATTTGTTACCTATATGTATGTGTGGCTTATTCCTAGCCAGGAGATGTTGATTCTGACTACAAGTCTCTTTTTCTTTACCTAGGGTCTCCCTTAGGAAAGTCTTACCTTCCTGAGTCTTCTTCAATAAGCTGACCTTATCTAGGTAGTCACTATCCTCTTTTGTCTTCCCAAACTGTATGTAAGTTCATCATGCTTGCCTCTCATTTTTTTTTTAAAGAGAGATTTAGAATAGAATCCAAAACTAACATCTTGAGCATCTGGTAAATATGTCTCCAAGAACTGCTGATTCCTGGTAAATCTCCACTAAGACCTTGATTAAGCTTCAAGGTTCTCTTGGGCTCTTCAGCTGTCTTTTGGCAAGTACACAACATTCACCCCCCAGAGATACCCACTCATACAATGGTTCCTATTAGTCTACTACTCTTGTTTCTTCCCCTTCATACCTACTTCCACTTCTTGCTGAGATTGGATATTTACTCATTTAAGTGGATGTTATCCTATTACTTTTCCCTTTGAAATGGCCTCCTGAATTCCAAGCCCTCCTTTCCCATAGCCTCTTCTGGTTCAAGCCTTCAATGTGTCCTCTCAGTCTGGAGCTCTTAACCTGTTTTATGCCATGAATCTTTTTGGCGGCCTGGTGAAGCCTATGCACCACATGAAAACATGGAATTACAAGGGACACAGATTATTTGGAAGTACATATTAAATATTTTTTAAATTAAATAATAATTTGTGTGCTTCTTTATTAACACATTAAGAACAAGATTTAGTAGTGGTTCTAATAACTACCTTAATTCTGAGGTAGCAATGAGCATAAATAATATATCCACAATATCTGTAATGTAATATGAAAAGTGCTATAATTCGTTTTGGTGACAAAGTCACAGGTCTTGCTAATACTACTGCGGTTTTTTTTTACCAAATGCATGTATTTCAATTGATGGTTAGTGAAAATAAACATGTAATTTTTTTTAGTCCACATATTATTCTTCTCCCCTCCCCCTAGATCATAGACACTTAACTGGCCTCCCTGCCTCTGTTCTAACCAGAACACTGACTCACAAGGCCAGTCTTCAGAACTCTCTTCCTAAAACTCATATCTTCGCTGTATAATGACTTTTATGGGTCCCTATTGTCCACAGCAGCATCTCTTCCAGTATTATAGAAATGGAGCTCATTTGAAATGCAAATTTCCTGGACTCCCTCTCATTCTGCAGATCTAGGGTAACGCTTGAAACTCTGCATTTTTGAAAGTACTATAAGGCAGTCTTGCACTGATGATCAGCAGACCAGACTTTGAAAAAGAGTGTAGAGTCCAAACTTGTATGTATGGCCTTCAACACCCTTCACAGTCTGCCTCACCGCACCCACTTTTCCAGTTCTACTCAAGCCTCGCAGGGTTATCATCCATTCCCAAGCAGTCCTAGGAGTCCCACCTCCCTCTCTGGAGAATCTCCTTCCCTCCCAGCCCTCCTGCTCCTCAGCTCCACACTGTATGCGCATCTCTCTGCTTGCTTAAAACTTACTTATCCTTCAAGGCCTAAATCCAATATAACCTTTCCGAATCCCCCCTGACTTTCTCACTTGGGTCGAACAATATTGTTCTCTCCGACACTTTCCAATCACATTGTGTGTAGCTAATTATGCCAGGCCTCTGCAAGGGCAGAGGGCCTCAAACCCGGCTGCCTGAAAGATTGCTGTGAATCCATTCAGCATTCAGCATTCAGCATACACTTGGGAGGAGAGAGCAAGTATTGAGCATCAATTAGGTACAAGGTAGTCACTAAAGGAATAAGACAAGGTCCTTACTTTCAAAGAGTTCATATTCCTGGTTCATCCCCCTCGCTCCTTATCTACTCCAGCCTTTTCTTGGTGGTCCTGAAATCATCTCTCTAACTACTTCAGTCTACATTGATCTTTGACCCCCTCATATTGATGGATAACCAGAATCATGCTGTTTTCGAATTCATTTGTTCATACTTTATTGAGCTACTACTATGTGCCAGGCAATGTGATAGGTATTGGACACGTATAACCTGTGAACAAGACAGTACCTGTCCTCAAAGTTCTTAGAGTGTCGTTAACTGATGTTGCTATTTTCTCCCTGGCTAGGCTGGAAGCTCTGTGAAAACAGGGAGAGTCTTATAATTTTTTGTAGTCTTCATTGCCACTAGCATATTTGCTGGCACAACGACTGTTTTAATGCCCTTGAAAGAGTAAAATACTTGTTTTCAACGCCTCCCTTCCCATTCAGAGCTTCCCTTACCTGATACTGCCACACTAAAGGGAAAGGATCCTCTTCGTAGAAACCAGGAGTAAAGCTCCTTCGAGAGCTGTAGATGAGTGTTTGACTCCCCTCTCTCGAAAAACAAATCCCAAAAGCACAAACTGCGGTTCCTCTGCCGGTTGTTGCTAGGACGCATCCGTTGCTAAGAGAAAAGAGGCGAGTCCACTGCTGAGATTGACAAAGCACCACCACCAATAGTGTCCGCTCTCTAACAGTCTCTTTCAAAGCAGACTTGTGATTGGTTACCGTGATGTGACGTCACCCAATACGAACGAGGTGACGGCATCCGTTTTCCACTAGCAAAGAGTTTTGTAATTTAGGTACGTCGATGACAGTGCCGGGTCTGACAGGTTCGGTCCCGTGCCTCACACCCATCGCAACCTCACCCGAAGGGGAATCCAGGGCTGTGGATTCTAGGAGCCAGGCGGGAGGGGTGTTATGAAGCTGTCGGCTCAGCATCCCTGGGGCTGCTTCCCTGCCTACCCTCTGCGGAGAGAGGGGGCCCTCCCAGGAACCGACCTTGGATTCTGGCGTGAGGAGGAAGTTGGTCATGATTGCGTGTCGTGGGCATCCCAGAACTTCTAAAGTGTTGCATTTTCCTCTTGCCTGTTGTCTAGAGTTTGACTTAAACTAGAAGCCCGAGTCTCTGGGGAAGAAACTTGAATCCCTGAGTAACTCTAAGGTTCATTTTTTATGTGATTATGGGTCCTATGGGATTCATACAGTGAAGCTTATCTCTCTGAACACTCCTTTCTTTTAAAAAATAATTATAACTGCCTAATTTGTAAACTGGCGAACTTAAAAGTAATGCAATTGACTGTTGTAGTTGTTCTAAATTAATTTGTATATCCAATTTAAATGAAATATTTGAGAAGAGGCTTAGATTTATAACACAAAACTTAATGATCCCGAATGAATATAAGATTTTATATGATGTGTGAAAAGATCATGTAGATTCTTTCAAATTTCTGAAGAATTTGTATATACTACAGAAATCATGAAAAAAAAATCCTAGGAATAGGTCTTATCTAAACATTGTGACAACCTTTTCCCAGGTTCATTCACTCCTCCACACTTAGTTTTTTTTCCTGGGCTCAGTCCTGAGTCTTCTTTTCTCACTCTTTGCACTCTCCTGGTGGCATGATATATTTCCCTCATCTTCAACCATCACCTCTAAACATATCAATGACTTTCATTTGATATTCTCAGCCCAATACATCTCTTAAGTTCCAGACCTGAATTTCCACTAGCTACTGGACATTTCCAACTATCTATCTAGTTCAGTTCATAGTATTTAATAGTTGCTAAATAAAGATACTGACTGAAGGAATGAATGAATGAATTACTGTACCACGGGCACCACAGTTTAGCAGAGCCAAAGTCAACTCATTATCTATCAGAAACTTTTTTTCCTCCTTTAGTTCCTTCCTTAGGTAATAGCATCACTATGCTATTTCTAGTTTGCAAAAACTAGAAATCTGAGAGTCATCCCTGACTCATCATCTACTGACCACAGTCAACATATCACTAAGTCCTGTCATTTTTCTTTCTTAAATATCTCTCAAATAATCCATTTCCTCTTAGCCATCCTCTGCCTCTGCCTTATTTCAGGTATGCCTTATCTCTCACCTAGATGGTAGTAATAGTCTCTTGATTTGTTCTATCTCCGTCCCTCTAATTTACTTGCCAAGTTGCCACAGAATGTTCTAAATCAGAGATCCTGACATCACTGTGCTTAAATATTCTCAATCTGGCACATGATACCCTATACAAATAGGGATTTGAAAGATTTCAGAAAGATATCTGGAATGTAATGAGTTATTTTTCCAACCTTATTTCCTACTTCTTTCCCCAGCTCAACCCATGTTTTAGTCCAGTTCTTCTCAACTGAAGAGCCCTAAATGCTGATGGGCATGGAACCACAGGGGTTGAGTGTTGGTAGTAGGCTGAAGGTAAGAAGGGGGAGATAACAGCTGAAGTAGACTTCGGCAACTGAGATATATTTGTTTCCTATAAAGAATTCATAAAGTTTTTGCATTCCACTCTACAATGCATTCGTGTTTGCTTTAATTTTTTAAAATGTCTAAAGTCGCTATTAACTAAAATTGACACAAAATTGAATAAACATAAAAAAACCATGGGCAAGTGTGACATGCTCATCCCATGGATTTCCACAGCCCCTGACATACTGCTACACAGGCCCAGGAGTTGGTGTGTGTCAGCTTGAGAGCCAGAGCTCTGAAAACACATGGCTCCTGACTGCTCCCCTTTGTAATGTCCTGTCGCAACTGTGTGTCTGCTCATCCCACCGCCTCCACATCTACTTCCACCTCAATCCATAATGCCATTCTTCATCTTCATTACTTGGTAAACTTCTGCTTATTTTCAAGACCCAACTCAAATGTCACCTTCTCTATAACGCTATACAGGCATCCACTAGAATTAGTCACTCTTTTCTCTGTTTTTCCATTATAGCAAGTATTATATCGTGATGCAGTGGCTCGTTCGCATGGATGTCTCCCCCTCTAGACTTTAGGGCAGGGATGGCATCTCACTCCTTTATATCTCCATTGTGTAACACAGTGTCTGACATAGGTGGTGTTTAATAAAATATATATTGAATTATGTAATTGATTGACTATTCTTGAAGGGAAGCTCTTTAACAAAAGCTGCTTTGTATTCTTCCAAATAATTTCTTTTTCTTAAAAAAAAATCCATAATCCTTTGCAGATTTAAGGAAGTAAGGAATGTAACCTTGTGATTTGGGTTAGACACCAAGCCCTTCTGTCATCTTCTCTTTAGAGATGCCCTAAGGGGATGTCCATTAAATGGAATGAGTCATAAGTCACAATACCAAGAAAAAAAGAAATTAAAAATGGGAAATGTTTAGTAATTTCTTCATGTTATAAACTCATGATTGACCATCTGTTCTTTAATGGGAGTGATCAGAAATGAAACATGACCATGGTGGCTAGTGAACACTTGTGTGTTCTTCCAAGGGACGTTGTATTAAATTTTCCTGAAATGTGAAGATATTTAAAAATTAGTTTTAGTTTTATTAGTTGAGTGAAAATGTAATGAGACAAGAAGTCATAACAAAATATTTCTCTGATTCTTTAAGGATATCTTGGTAAATTTCAGATTGGGTTTACAAAAGTATAATCCGACAAACTGACAAATTAGATATGAGGTAGATTTGTACTAATCATTTTGGTGAGTAACTCTCCCACCCCCTTATATGGATATATATTAGTTTTAAACAGTTAGCTCAGAAACCGGGAATGGAGGATCCTATTTATGCCTGGGAGGCAAAAGCGTCCTTGTTTGAGCCCTAAACTGCTGGAATTACCACATGTTTTCCGAGTGTTTGGGAGAAATCACCACACCTATTGCAAGAGGAACTGAGGAGCACTGCAGAAGAGTATTCAGCTTCAGGAATGAGAAAATGAGATAGAAAAGCCTGATCTACAAACTAAGATTTAGCTGTTGGAAGAACAGGCCAATTGTGTTGATTCCAGAAAAAATGGACTATACCTTCAATGACAAATTAGAAAATGTGCAACACTAAAGTGAGGAGAAAGGCATTATTACTACTTCTGTACAAAATGGCTTGATTCTACTGGGGATTAAGGAGGACACAGGCCCCACCTGGCTCCACAAATTGTTACCCCTTCCCACAAAGGAAGGCAGGCAGGTACAGCTGATCTGCAGGCTGCAGGCAACAGATGTCTCCAGAGGGGCCAAGGCAAGGGCCAAGGTAATGGCTAAAGAGGAAAATATGGGGCTATGTGGTAGCAGAGTGGACTTATTTGTGAGTATAGGTGAGACTCCACTCCCTGCAAGAAGAAACAGTTGGCGATGTGAGAGGCATTGTATGGTGATTATAGTCCCTGCAGTATCATCAAGCATCAATGAATATGAGTTCTACGTGTATAATGATTATGCCTTTAGGGATTTCAAATATTTTTAAAGTGAAGTCACTTAAATAATACTATATTTAAAGTAAGAAAATTATGTTGAAGCCTAAATTTGTCACTTTCTGGATGAAAGGCATTAGACAGACTCTTAAACTCCCTGAATTTCATCTGCCAAATGATGATATTTTCCTCAGGGCCAGGACGGATAAAAGGTGAGGTCAATCACATTGCTGCCCTAGGAGCATTCTTCAAAAGGTATTAAACTTCCCTGCAGTGAATTGCAAATAGGTTGTCAATTAGTTGGGGTTTCCACCGGGGACTTTTCACATAGCAGGAGAAAAATAAATTTATTCTTCTCTCAACCAAATAGCTTCAGAGTTGAAATAAAATCTATGTTGAAAATTTTTGCCATGGGAGGGTACAAATCATGAAGTTCAACCAAAAGGTACTACTCCCATGCTGAGTTCAGTCAGCTTTAAAATCTAAATTTCGAACAGGTCAGTATACTCCCCCAAAGTTGTCTAGTTTGGAAAACTGTGTTTAATAAAGTATTTCAAATATAAAAAAAGAATATATATGTTTGTTAACAGTAATCAAGTTTTCTCTATTTCCACTAATAAATGGGGAACAAATTTTTAAAGAGTATTAATATAAAGGGATGCCAAATTATTAGCCTGTACGGATTGCCCATAGATCTTAATCTGCCCCTTCCCCATGGCATTGCCATGAAAAGGCCAACAGAGTGCCTCAAATGTGGTATATACTCAAGGAATAGTTGTGGAATCAGAATTAATCTTAAATTCTGCTCAAAATGAATTTGTAGACATTGCCTCTGTTCTTTGGTGACCATTAAATGTAGATTTGACTATCCAAGTGTCTAATAGACATTTCCACTTGGACTGTCTAATACACAGTTATGCAAAGCATGGCCCTTGGATCAGTCCCAGCCAAGAAATATTTGTTACTAGCTCACTAGTTCATGAAATATTTGTTACCCATCTGCAACAAAAGAAATACAGAAATTGAAAGTGTTTAAAAACTTTTTAGCAAGTTGACAGAGTAACTCTATGTTATATATAACAAAACTGAGGTCTGTGTTTATTCCATTTTTCTGGCAATTTATTTGTGCTGTATTTTACAGAAGTATCAGTCTGTGAGAGAAATGAAAACAAAACAAAGCCAACTAGCCCTTTAACAGATAGTCTTAGAAGCACTTTAT